TTTCCCACTGGATAGAGGCCATTAAAAATTATGAGAAACATTGTGAACAAAGTAGACAAAGTTTCCAAGCTGCCAGAGTTTACGTATCCAAATTTAGACTCACGATGATTTTTCTACAAATTTTCCAACAGCCGGGTCAGAAAAGTCAAAAACAAGAAAAATGTGTATTTTCACAAAAATCTAGCCAAAAATGATATTTTTGACAAAAATGGGTTAGAAATGTTATTTTTACCAAAAATTAGCCATAAATACATGTTTTGAACAAAATGGGGACTAAAGTGTAAGTTTTACTAAGACTGGGCCATAATTGTAAATTTTTGGCTTATTGGGTCAAGAATGTCATTTTTACAAAAAGTGGGCTTTATATGCTATTTTGGTAAATAATCTGGCTAATACTAGCAATAAAATAACAAACGGACTAATTTTGTCATTCGTATAATATTGGGCCTTAGTGGGCCGTTAATATGCTTGATAGGTCCTGAATACTATTTATTTGTTTATTGGGCCTCACTGACCCATTAACATGCGCGACGGACCTTGGATACTATTTGCGTGCTATTTGGGCCTATAAATACCTTACATGTGAAATGGGCCTTAGTTGTCCTTTTACATATATTTTGGGCCCATGTTATATAATCTCATTTCTTTCGGGCCTGAAAATGACTTACGTGTTCAGTGAGACTCAGTGGTCCGCAGACATGGTTCATTGGGCCAGAAATGAGTTTATATGTTTCTCTTCGCGTAAAATTCGATTAAGGATCTAGTGAGACTTGTCGGTTGACACCTACTGATTGTACGATCGTAGCGTATAGTTATAATCAGAGTCTCTTGGAGGGAGAGCGGGGTTTTGTGTATAGATTTATACGGGGATGACACCTCACACTTGAGTTGTTCGCTACAGTTAGACTACATCAGTCTAGGGTGACGATAACCTTATTCTATTTTTCCGTCGGCGTTCACAAACGCAAAGACATGCGAAATTGTCATTATTTAGTATGGTTATGACGGCTCACTTAGAGGAATTAACGTTATGAAGTTTGTGGAAGACCATTCTCTTTTCTCTTGGATTACTAGGAAACTTACTCACACTGGTACTCAACCTCGGGGTTGGTACGACAGCTTTCTCTTTTCTTCTTTTACAGGCAACATCGGGTTGTCTGGGGGCATTCTAATTACATTTCTCTTTTGGCATTCTATTAATCAATAACACACATGCATTGATACAAGATCAGACACAAACATACTAAACTATTTTAAGAAAATACAGGATTTTCTTGTGATTACAAAGCTATACAAATCATTTTCTCAAACATGCTTATGAACTCACCAACATTTTTATGTTGACTTTTTTAAATTAACTTGTATTCTCAGGAAACCGTTGAAACAAGTTGGGACGAACAAACTAATGGATGTTTTGTTATATTTCTATTTCATCAGACTTTAATTATTTTGACTTGTAATATTCAAATACAATACTCGATCTAAACGATGAATATTGTTATATTACATGTGTGATGATGATGATGTTATGTTTCAATTATATACTCTATGATGATACTACCACAATGGATTCACGCTCAAGCCCCCGGACATTTCCGCCGTCTGGTTCGGGGTGTGACAATTGTATCTTTTTATAGCAGGCCAATAAGATGATTAGATGGAAGGGAGATGACATGATTGCGACATCTGGACATTCTCAAGGGCATGACATAGATCCAATATTTATTAATTGTATGAAATGATTTTCAAAACGATGTTATGCTTCAACAACTCGATGGTATTACGTTTAATATGATAACGAGATGAGACATGATTAAGAATACGTTTTTAACATATCAACTAAGGTTTTACTTTTCACAAGATTTATACTCTAGTTTTCAAAAAAATTTATGGTCGAAGTTTAGGGATGTTATAGAACACCATTAAAACACCACAAACTAACGCTAAACTAAATGATTCAACACAATAATTTGGACTTAAAATCATAAAACCTACAAATAAATTATAAATTGTATAATTAAGCTTATACAAAGATCAAAAACAAATTCAAAAGGATCCATGGTTTAATTCATGAGGTTGTGTTTTCAAAACCGCTATTAAAGCTTCATAACTTAATTTTCAACGTGGAGATGAACTTATATCACTATCCTAGTGTTATAAACTTAGAATCCAACGCTAATCTTCAACTAGTCATGAAGTTCATATCTGAATTCAGATTTAATGATGATTCATAAATATTAGAAGCTTAATTGATAAAGAAATGGATGAATCAACTGCCAAGCTTCACCTTCATGATTTAGTGTTAAAACTTCAATGTAACTTCAATTCTCCCTGCAATGTCGAATTCTCTTCCAAAAATCAAATTTCTCTCCCATCCATAAGCTTCAAATCGTCCAAATGAAGTAGAAGGGGAAGCGTTGGGCTTTTTATATCCAATCTTCCATCATTTGGCAACATGAGGCCCTTAATTTTCTACTGTTAGATTTAACTCCTAACTTCCAATTATCATCATCAACCTTATAACTTGTATTTTAACCCTAGAATGTTTTCCTCTTTACAAATAAAGTCTAAAACATAGTCAAATAGTTTAGTTTAGAATCCATACCTTTACTTTTATAGTTGAAAAGTCAATCCCCAATTTTAAAGCTTTTAACTTAGTGCTAACCTATCTTTTAATTATTATTTAGTTACTTTCGATTTACTAAACATGTAATCTGTTAATTATTCTTATTTAATTTAATTTATAAATAATTTATTAAAAGAATAATTACGTTTAAAAGTTAAAACTTCTAACCTAAGTTCCATATGTTACAAAAATACATAGCAAGCACATATTTTTTTATTGTTTTTTTATGATCAAAATAAAACCAATTAGAAAAGATTCCCCGGCGTTGCCGGGGTCGGAAGGTATTGCTTTATAAAGTAAAGTAGCATGTTGGTTGCTTTTTGTCCGTTAATGTGAGGGTAATTTGGTCTTTTCAGGTAGTAGGGACTGAATTTGTCATCATGGGTAAACCATATGGACCATTTATGTAATTTTGTCGTCAAATTCAACAAAACCTAAGGACCATTTATGTAAAATAAACCAATTCTTTACTGTTCATAAATGATTTTACACATTAAAAAAACCCATTAATTAAAGAAGTGACGATAAAAAAAATGGGAATCGTTTAAAGCAAAAGCGGAGCGAGAGAATTGAGCGGAAGAAGTAAAAAACAATAACTTAGGGGAAAAATGGCAACAGGTAAAACAATTGAGGCAAAAGAGTAAAAAAAAAGTTGTAGAATTACCGTTTCATAAAAGTGTTATCCTTTAAACAAAGTGACACACAAACAAAAATGGAGGGACCGAAAATGTAATTTAAAGGACCAAAAGTGGCAAAAATATATCAGGCTTACTGTTCTTTTTCTCCACAACTTTAATATATATAATAATACCAAACATTATGTAGATATAATTAGGGCTATAAATGACTGGACGTTCGGTGAGCCATTTGTGTACCGTTTGACGGAAAATTCGTTTATGTTCGTTTATTTAATAAATGAACAGACATGTACACAAATTCTCGTTCGTTTAGTTAAATGAACGAACATGAATAATGATCTCGTTCGTGCATTTGTGTTTGTAACGTTCGTTTACGTTTGTTCATTTAAGTTTATTTATGTTCATATATGTTCAATTGTTTTTTATTACATTATTATATTATATGTTCGTTTATGTTCATATATGTTTAATTGTGTTTGTAACTTTGTTTATCTTTGTTCGTTTATGTTTGTTTAGCATGTTCACGAACATAAAGGAACAAACATAAACAATGTAATTTGTTAAACGAACTAACATGAACAAGAAAACTCATTCGTTTATCTGTTCGTGTTCGTTCGTTTGTTCGGCTAACTTAAACGAATGAACAAGAACAAACCCTTTTTACGTGTTTGTTCGGTTCGTTTACATGCCTAGATATAATATACGACAAATTACATAGCCGATGCCCGATGCCCTAGCTAGAAGCCTAAAATGCCACATTAAGCAAATTATTAAAATCAAACCAACTTAATTTTATATATTTTTTGGATAGTCACATTTAATAAACCAAATTATTTTATAAAACAATATTTTAAAAAGCTACTAATAAACTAACATTTTTATGAAATATCCGTTATCCACGTTCATTTCTCAAACATTTCTATTAAGACACCCTTTAGACACCCTATAAACATTTTTATCAAAAGTCAACCAATAGGTAACTATTTTTAATCATCTTTTTCAAAAAACAATGTAATTTTTACCAATGAAAAAACCTTAAAAATTATATAGGGTGTCTAAATGGTAAAATAAGATGTCCATTTAGCCAACCCCTTTTGAAAATCCAAACTAAAAAAAGCTATTGAAAAGGAAGTGAGTAATTAATAAGTAATAAGTGTGTGTCATTGGAGCAGCCTTAACTTTGTGTCGTTATGGCAGCTTTCACTTGTATTAGTGGGAGGATTATGTATTATGCTTCACATCTCTCCATTATAATCTCTCTCAACTACATTACTCGGGTCGGATTCTCATGATCTATGGGTTTGGAGTATGGGTTATTCGTGTCCTTACGTGACTTGTACCTCACGCATGCATCGTTGTACTTTCTTAAATTAATCCTTTCAGGCTTCCACATGGATGCTGCTCAAACCCAGTTGTCAAAAAATGAAATAAGAATCAAACCCGACCAATCAGATCCGGGTCAACCCGCCCCGAAAGAAAAGAAAACAAACATTTAATTTGTTAAATGAAAAGTGAAGATTGATTTGCTTTAAAAAAGAACCAATAGGATCCTATTGTTGTCGCACTCCGTATCAAAATTAAATCATTTTATTTTTATACATAATTCAGTAAAAATATAATTTTCATATTTTTTTAACATCTAACATAATAAGTACTATAGTTTAAATAGTGTACACTTTTTTGATGGCTATTCATAAATAAACCAAGCATTCAAGAGAGGGAAGATTGCATGTATTCTATATATAAGCCTCTCTCTTTCCCCCAAACACTAAAAATAACTACACAACCATGGACGAGTTGGGTCCAGAAAGATCGGACCACATGAGCTTCCACCAGGCTCCACCTTACAGTAGCAGTGAAGATTGGTGGAAAACCTACGAAACATCAATTTCTCTAGGATTTCTTGCAACTGCCGTCTTCATATCCATGTTCATTATCATGGCCATCATTGAACATCTCTATAAACTCAATGCTTCATTCGATTTGACTCGATACACTAGCCACCAATCCAATGACCCGAGACCGGTGCACAAGCTTGTAGATCCACAACCACATGTAAGTTACTTTGAGATACTCAAACTTGTGTTGTTAATGATCTACATATGGTACAAGTCATTAAAGCATATTCTTGTTACTAGGTACAAGAGAGAAATGCAACGGATTTATCGATATTGATGCCGGGAGAGAAGTACCCGACCTACATTGCACATCCGACACCTCTACCTTGTACAAGGGAAGGAGTTTATTGGCCTTCACATTGTGTTCATGATTTTTCCAATCCTTAGTTTTTCTTTTTTTTTTGGATAAATCATAATCTTACTAGTTTTTACTCGAAGGGTTGTATCTTTTTTCATACCACTTGTCTTATTCTGTATTGAAATACATTACTTAGGTAGTGAAGTACATTATTCTTTTAAATCTTTTTTGCAAAAAACGACATGAAAATGATGGTTGGATACCGTTCAAATAAAGGTGGAATAGTTATAAGGAATTTTGAGGGAATTGAACACAACACGAATCAAACATACGACTTATGCTTGTTTGGTTCGGTTGAGTGGAATGAGAAAACGAATGGACGTAACAAGTAGTATGATGATCAGTTATCGTTAAATTGGTTGTTTCATAGTAGTATCTATATGTAAAAATGCTGATGTTGACATTGAAAACCAACATTTTTAATATTCCATTTTTTAAATGTCGGCATCTCATTTTTTGGTGTTGGATTCGTTTATAAAAGTTCAAAGTTAATAAATATCCTATAAAACCGATTTTAAAAAGTTAGTATAATAGTAACAATCTAGTTCAAATGTTTAATTCAAATAGTAGGTCAGTTTAAGTTTTTATGAAACTAAAAGTCGGTTTTTATGAAAATAAAACTAGATAAAAAAACAACGTCGCATCAGGACCATATTAACAGGTGAAGCGAATTTCAATTAAACCTAATACTAGTTTCAAACATTCTATAAGAACTTCTCCAAACCAATAAAATCTAAAATTGATGATTTCGTCAAAAATACCAAATGATTAGTGAAAATTATTATGGTCTATTTCGGAAAATGTATAAAAGTTGGATTATTTATATTAATTCTTCATAATCATATGATTAATAGACTAAACTTGTTGTGAGCCACTGGATTTCAAATATATTTACTTAACCATTAACAGTATTTTAACGACTATAAATGTTTTTTTGGGTAATGAAACATGTTAATCCAAACATTATGAAACATGTTACCAAAATATATGTTTACAAACATGAAAACTATATACTAATGCCCATTTTACCCCTACAATATGCATACATTCTAATCCAAACACCAAATCTTGTCCTTTATATAAGGACCCTTCTTCTCACCATACAAAACATGTTCACTCTTGCTTATCTTTATCTTTAGAATTATTTCAAAAGGTTTCCCCATCTAAAACAATGAAATAGGTACATGTTTAGCCCTCATATTCTATCTCTCCCTTCTCACCTCACCTGTAAGAAAATAAATATCATGATATGAATAACAAGGAGATATAAAAAGGGACAAGTAAATTGCATACCTTTCGCGTGGTTAAATCAATTTCAACTTGTGCATATCCGAATTCAACCATGTCTCTTATCATGCACACATCATCATTATTGTTCTCAACCTCATTCTCCATGACCTTTACCCCAGTTTCCTTTACCTCAAGCTCAGGCTCTATGTCCATGTCCACAACCTCATTCTCATTCTCCTTAACCTCATGCTCTTTCACCTCAACCTTAGGCTCTTTCACCTCAAAATAAGGTGTATTTATTAAAATGTCATTAATGAATTCTTCACAAGTATGGGACACATATTCTGGCCCTCCTCCCATATTAGTCTCCTTGACCTTAACCATAGTCTCCTCCCTTGTCCCACATCTTTTTCTTCCCCTTCCTTGCCTTCATCTTTATCCTTTTCTTAGGAGTAACTAAGATACTTTGAGTAGGTTGCTTAGCCACATTCTCCTCTTGAGCAGTTTTACTACCCACATTATCCCTTTCATCTTGTACAGTTTGACTGCCTATATTATCCCCTTCATCTTGCACAGTTTGACCAGTTACATTTCCCCTAGATTTTGGGTAGGTTTAATATCTTCAAGTTGAACATTGTTAGGGCTTTTCCCTTCGCCATCCATCCTTGTTCTAATCCTTCTAGGTAGGAAGTGGTCAAAATGTGGTTGACTGACTCCATCGTTCCTTAGTCTCCCAATCTTCCTTTTTGGAATAGGATCTTTGGGAGCTCCATCATTCTTGCAAGAACTCTTGTTATGCCCAAGTTCTTGGCATTTTTCACATCTCATAGTCCTAGGTACTTTTGCCCTTTAAGTTTGATATTTAGAGTCTTAAGATTCTGATGCATGCTTCCTTCTAGTTACTTTAGGTCTCCCAAGCATTCTCCTTACAAGAGGTGGTAGTGGCTTGATAAAATCAGTCCTTTGCCACATTTTGCTTCCACCAACAAGCAAGATATTCTCCATGTAGGTTGCAATTAACTTGTCCTTATGGAACCATGAAGATTTAAAGTAAATGGGATCTTTGTGCACATAGGTGATTGTTGCCTGACCATGAACACATGATATTTCAAACAACATCTATAATCTACATGTTCATGACTGATTATGTAAATCCACCTTGTAACCATCATATGTATACCTGATCTCAAACAAATAACCTCCACTTGGTATTACCTTCCGCAACCTAAAATAAACACAAGTTAATGACCAATTCTAGGCAACTAAAAAAACCTAATATGTTAACATTTTACCTCATATTTTTCCTAAATTTTGTAAGTTTTTCTAGAGTGTTTGGGTTATAGTCACCTCTCTAGTGGTTCTTCAAATTCCCTTGATGATAAAACCTTTCCATTAGGTAAATCCTGATTTCGTCAATCATTGTAAGTAGAGGTTTCTTCATCATGTACCTTATCATAGAACTGAAGCATTCTGAAATGCCATTCTCTACAGCCTCACATGCAAATCTTGTAGTAAAGAAGGCCATGCACCAAGTTTCTGGTTGTCTTGCCATGAGATAGTTATAACCTGACGATGTAATGTGCTTGATCTTCTCCATTGCATTTATAAAGTCCCATTCTATTATACTTTTAGCAGCCTCCCAAAATAGATTCTTAGTTCTAATCACATGTATCTTTTCCTAAAATTTGCAAATATATGTCTTGCACATTGTCTGTGTTCAACATATAGAAGGAATTGTGACACAACCTGCAATAGTCCCTGTAATATGATAACAAAGTAATAAGTAAAAAATTTACACAAGTTTTTATTGAAAGGCATAATAGACATGCCTTATGTTGGTCTAAAATAATAACTAGCTCATTACCACCAGCAAGATCTAAATCATCCAGCAATAACTCAATGAACCAAGACTAACTGTCTTTATTCTCAATTATAACCACTACTCATGTTATTGTCTAGACATGATTGGTTGCATCTCGACTAATAGCAGTCAGTAGCTTACCATTTACCAACCCCTTCAAGAAACATACATCCAATCATATCATTTTTATGCATCCTCTTTTCCATTTATCCTTGAAATCCTTAAAGCATACATAGAACCTCTTGAAATAGTTGATTTCACAAGGATTGACATCTACCCCAACCTTGCATGTTCTCCCTGGATTAGACCTGAGGATTTCATCTGCATAGTCCCAAACCCTACCATAGTATTCCTCTAACTCTCCTTATATCATATCCCTAGCCTGTAACCTTGCTCTTTGACATTGCCCCTTGGATACATTCTCTGAAAACCTCCTCAAAACATCTTCTTTCATCTCATCCAATGTCATTTTGGTCTTCATGGTGACATCTTGCAAGTAGTGCTTGGCTAACCAGTCAGAAGTAACTAAGTTACTGAAGTTGTAATTCCTAGCACAAAGATGAGTCTTAACAATGGATTTAATTTGGAATGTCCTTTCATTATACTTCCAACCAGTTGCTACCCTAAAAGGACATGGCTTTTGATCATTATAACTGTTGCCACACCTAGCAATAACCCTAACTCTATGATCTCTCTTCTCAAAGTAAATTTGGTATCCATTATGGACTTCATAGTTTGTTAATGCAAACCTTAGTTGAGTAGGGGACTCATAACACTCACCCAATTCATGTTTCATTTCGCTCCAAAGTTGGTTTGGATCATGGACCCTATACTCCACACCAATTTCTTCATCATTTACCTCTGGTATGTGGCCATGCTCAGTCTCATTGACACCAAATCAATTTTGATCATCCCCAACCCGTCTATACCCCTCTTTAACATATTTTTATCACACAAAAAGTTAAGAAAATGGTCATTACAGAGGTTGGATGAGGGTTTAAAGGTTTCTTGTGAAAAATCCAAGAAACTAAAGTAAAAAACTTCTCATCCGAGTCTGAGTCTTCAATGTATACCTTCTCATGTCGTTTGTCTTTGTCTTTCTTAGTACCAGTCTTAAGTCGTTTGTCTTTGTATTTCTTAATACCATAAGTAGAAGTCATCTGTTAAATGTGAAAAAAAGAACTTGTTACTGATAATTACGTGAGGAAAAACACCTATTTACACTTCAATTTCATGTTACCATGTATGTACCTTGCACTTGAAGTGTGTCTCAGCAAAGAATTATCGAGCACAACAAAATGACAATGGTGATTCTTCACAATCCTTTTTCAAACCCCTCTATCCAATGTTTGTATGCATGAAATCATTTTTTGAGGTCTGAAAGATGAACAATTATGGAGAGAAAGGTGATGGATGAGTGTTTCAACGAAAGAAGTGACCGGCTGAGAAATGTTACCGTTTGTTAACCGGCAATTAGGTTTTAATTGATAAGCCAACGTAATTATTGAGGCCTCAGTGAGCTAAAAATAAAATATATGGTTTTTCCGCATTAAGTGTATAAAAGTTATGACTTTTATAGTATCGGCCCTAAAAAATGGAAGATTAAATCGAAAAAAAAGGGATGGTTTAATCAAAATAAAAATCCAAACTAAGTTGATTTTTATGGAATTTTGGGCTACCAACAAATGAGGAAATATCAACCAATTACTTACTTATAAAGATTAAATTCTGTTGCTCTAGCAACGTATATGTACAAATTCAAACGTAAAAGTTAAAAATTAAATCAAATAAATTGAACAGTTAAAAGTAATAATTTTTTTTTCAAACATCTTAAATTGATTCATATATATATTTTTTTGTTATGATAATTATTATTCTAATGTCGTTTTTTACTTTTTATAGTCATATTTAAAATGTTAACTTACTTATAGAAGACAAAAAGTGTAAGCAACCAAGAGTTATAAATTCCCACAATTTTGTCATTACACATGACATCATATTTCACGACTTGTTTTTATTTTTTTATAGGATAGGATTAGTCTAAAAAAAATTTCTATCATTTAATCATTATAATATTTCATCCGTTCCATATTAATAGTTCATGTTTACTTTTTGGTTTTTCTTAAAATAATAACCTACTTCTAAAAATAAATATATTTTTATCAAAAAAAACTCTTCATTATTAGTTAACATACCAAGTAATTAAATACAACAAAAGTATGAAATTAAATGCAACAAAATGATACAAATGTCATTTCATTTAATAAAGTTAGTAGTAATTAATGTTTTCTTAATCAGTGTGTTTTTTGTCTGTGAACAATAATTTTGGGACGGAAGGAATATTATGACGTTAATTGATCTTTTTTATTCATACCCTTGTTTAAGACATTTCAAACTTTTTTATACTGTTTTCTTTAATATTCATGACATTTATAATATGATCTTTCCTATTTTTGGTTATAAATATAACCCTATATAGCATCCGGAACTTGATTTAAAAATATTGGGGGGAGGGTGAATCTCGACGATAACGCATAGTGTAGGGGGGTGTTTCGTGTCGCTAAATTAAAAAAAATATGGGTACAAGTTAGGGGAATTGAACCCGACGTGAATCGAACACGCAACCTTCTGATCTGGAGTCAGACGCGCTACCATTGCGCCACGGATCCCTTTGTGTAAATGCCTTCCTGATACCTTTTATATCGGGAGAACAATAATGTATGGCTTAAAAGGTTGAAGTTGAACCATATAAAATAAGTACAGGTACGAAATGTTCACTTAAATTTAATTTGAACATATATTTAATAATCGTTTGTACTTATTATGTTCATTAAGAGAACTAACTTTTTCCACATAAAATCCAAATGTATTTTTACCCAAACATCTTTTTTTCATATTATAAAAAAAAATAACCGCAAACCACACTAAATGGTGTTCACAATGAAATGAAGGTCCCTTTGCCATATAGAATCTTGTTACACATTCGCATGATTAGTTTAAGTTAGTTTCAACTATATCCACCAAATAGTAGTTTTTAAACATGTGCGAGAAATAACTTTTGCAAATTCATAACGTTTCATTCAACCATGCATACATAAATGCTCACCATTGCCTAGTCACGAGGTTATATATATTCAAATACTTAACACTTAGAAAAATTGATCTTTAAGTGCTTATTTGATTATTGGTCTACTTCTATTTGTTGTTGATTCATTATGTTGTTTGATTGTATTCACATACAGCAAACAAATTTTCAGTACATCGTTCACATGACAATACCCATTGTCTCTTGTTTATGTATTTAAGATGAAGACTAAGGTAGGAGAAGACAAACATTCAACTTATAATGTATTCAATTTAGAATTCTATCATCCTAGAATGTTACATCTCCCGTTAATCTTCTATCATTGTCGGGTTGAAAGAATGATTGGGAAATGATGAACCGGATGATATGAGTACTGTTTAAGTTACGTCCCTTAGTTGTAGATGAAACCATTTAAATCGGGTTGAAAGAATGATTGGGAAATGATGAACCGGATGATATGAATACTATTTAAGTTACGTCCCTTAGTTGTAGATGAAACCACTTAAATCGGGTTGAAAGAATGATTGGGAAATGATGAACCGGATGATATGAATACTATTTAAGTTACGTCCCTTAGTTGTAGATGAAACCACTTAAATCGGGTTGAAAGAATGATTGGGAAATGATGAACCGGATGATATGAATACTGTTTACGTTACGTCCCTTAGTTGTAGATGAAACCACTTAAATCAACCGAGTGACGTAGGCATATAGGTTCAAAGGTAGGCCTTGGCCGACCCCACATGAATTTAAGTTCTTATATATAATATATATTTTTGTTAAGTAAAAGGAAATTAGGCTGCATATGGCCCACCCCATAACAAAAAATAAAATTCCATATGAGAAAATATTGCACCTTTCGTTTTGACGATTAAATACATTTTGTTCAATTTATGCTGCCTTTTGCTTTTTGAATACTTTGCTCACTGTTTCATTTTCTTTTTCTGTTGGTCGTTATTCATCAGCAAATCGACTTAGTATATTAATTTTTTTCTATTAACTTAATTACTCAATTACTTCATTATTGCTTTTATTTTCGTTATAGATTTTATAATTTTATCGTAGGTTTCTAATAATTTAGATTATAACTTCTTGTTATAAATTAATTATTCGTATGTTGTACTATATGTATTATTGTTGATAGTCTGGCTCTTCACATATGATATTGCTAAATTAAGTCTGTTTTTTTTTATTATTTTAATGATGTAAGAAAATATCTTGTGCAACTTAAATGAACAATTTACTTTCGAATGCATATATTGTCATATTTTTTTTATCATTTAAAGTAAGTTTCTACCTGTTTATATTTTGTAAATTATTTGATCTACCCTAAAACAAAATTATAGCGACTAAATCAACCTAAAACAACTTAGAAGTGATATATATATATATATATATATATATATATATATATATATATATATATATATATACACACTAGGTTTAAACCCGTGAAAACCACGATTGAAAAACAAAAACACTATTGCTAATTTTAAATCATAATCACTAATTAAATATTTGTAAAAATGTATCAATTTACAAAGATAGAAGTTTTGTCAGTAAATTTATAATGATTAGTTAAAATTAATATATTCATTAGAGAAATAAGTAGATTTAAGTTAGATATAGTGACCGTGCCGTAAGACCTTGTTCCTTTCTACTTGACTAAGTAATATTCCACTCGTGCAGTGGGTGTAGGGGCTAGCCCATGGTGCGGTCAGCTATGATATACTCAATTTCTTAGTAGATTCATCTACAACATTTGGTGGTGCCCTCGTGGGCACGTTCCTCTCTGGGTCGGCCTGGTCTAATCGAAGTCAGCTGACTCACATGGAATACGGGGTTAGTTTTCACTGAGCTCGTCGCTTGAGTCTATAGGCTAATATTTGTCAAAAAGAGAAGTTTCCATCATTATGGGACAAACAACAAATACATGTTATTTAATTCTCATTGTCATTGTGTTGTGGTTTCGTTATTTGAGAAGAACCTTTTGAATTCAACTAACTATATAAACAACTCTTTCAAAAAAAAAACTAACTATATAAACAAAAGAATAAATACATAAATAAATTAATTGGTGTGGACTCTTAAATAATAAAATGGTGTGAAGATAAAAATGCTAATTTTCATTGACTAATGTTGGAATTCCACCAATGAAATAACTTAAAAGGGTAATAGATTTTCGATTTTGTTCACATTTAGTCATTAAACTTTTTTTCATTATCTATTTGTCACTGAACTATTGAAATTGTTTATATTTTACCCTTATGACCGGTAACAGCCGGTCATAAGGGTAAAATGTGAACAATTTCAATAGTTCAGTGACAAATAGATAATGAAAAAAAGTTTATTGACTAAATGTCAACAAAATTGAAAGTTCGTTTCCCTCTCAAATTATCTTAATATTATACCTCGAAAAATGTATAAAAAAACGAAAAACGAAACCAATATTATATGTATAAGTTTTATGTTATAAAACTATGCAATATTATATGTATAAAAATTATCCTAATATTATATGTATGAATTTGTGTTATAAAATTATGCAACATATAAATTGACATACATTAAACCATATACGTTGTTTATAAAAGAATACATACATACATTGATACGTTATGTATGTTGTTATACTTCATGTATTGACATACATCATATTAATATACTTACTATTAAAAAGGATATCGAAATTTTCATATTACACACAACAT